TCAGCAGAAAGTTGAATAGTTAAGGGATAGTTAAGTCCCTTAAGAGAACCTATTTTTGTGAAATTACAAGTTAATTTTCACTGTAAGGTAAAGCTAGGATCACTTTCAAAACAGCATCCATCTCATGAATAGCTGTCCAGATAAGACTCCTTAATATTTTTGGAGGCACTTTCACTGACCACGCACACAGAGCACAGCATAGTAGCAGTGGAAAATATTTACATTTGTCACGTTGTCTTAAATAACATAGTGTCTGCTTTAAATAGTAGATTTTCAGTGGCCTTCAGCTCTGGTGCGTCCTATGTTAGTCCTTGAGTAACTGTAAAAACAACACGTTGTTAGAAATAGTGTCAAATAAGGATACCTGTAATTGTTTGCCAAATGTCAAAAAGCACCCAGGAGGAATCAACTCTGATTACCTTTTTGATTAGTTTTGCATAGCTCTTCAAAAACTCTTTGGGTTTTTTTTTCTCGTAAGATTCACATGAAGACTCGCAGTGCTGGAAGATAAAGAAAAGCATGACACTTCTAAACAGCACATCAGAATCATAAATAAATCTTTAAGCTTTCCTACTGAAAAATCAAGAGGGTTGTAGTCAAAGCCTTTTACAAATGGAAAAGCTGTGACACGGGCTGTTTCAGAGAAGGAAAGAATATAGAAACGACACCTTGTGTTCACATTTTTTGCAGTGATCCCTGTCCTTTTGGCTGGCACGTCACATGGTTGCCAAGTACATACATGCAATGGATAGGATCAGAGTGAACGCCGCTCCCAGAAGTGCAGAAAACTGAACATTTTTAATTTCCAAAGTAACGAAAGGCGGATGGGTTTTTCTAACAAATTTGCTTTCTGCTATTCCACCACTGCAGGTGGTGTCTGCTATAGAAAGTAGGGAGTAATGATCGCTATTATGAGCATTGTGAGGAAATCCTACCTTGCCAGGGTAGCTGAATCTTTTCAAGACTTTAATGGTTTGGGTGAACGTGGGAATTACTTGGCTGTTTTCTGGTTGTAATTTCAGTGTGCCCTTCTGGAAGCAGGCCACAGCTGTGAACAGGCATCCATCCTAGGGCAGGAAAAGAAGGAATCGTTTTAAAACAAATGTTGCAGCACTTTCTTGCATGTTGTGGTCCCTGTGCAAAAGTAAGTATCTAGGATATTAATTGAGAAGATTCAACTGTACCTTTTTTTTTTTTTTTAGTTAGTTTTAGATAGGTGAGAGATCTTTAACCTTTACTCTGCCTGTTTGATAATTACTTAAGTATCTCCTCGTAAAATAAATGCCTCAAATGTCCACTTGGATATTAATCATGACAGCAATTGAAAGAAAATGCTACTGAAGAGTAGATCATGTTACAAGCACAGGCATGAGTATTTTCTTTTTAAAAAATTATGAATAACACTCTGGACAGTTCCTCAGTGCTACATGTGGGAATATACTTTTTTTCTTCCTAATTTTTGTGCCATTTCTATTATTTCCTACTTAATTATTAGAATTGATGCATATTTTCAAATACTATTGAAATGTTCTCACTTGATAGCATGGGAAATGAAGGTGATGAAATAAATATTTCCTTATTAAAGGGAAAAGAGGGATTGAGGATGAGAGGCAGGATAAGGAGCCAGGCTGCTGACTTGAATTGTCTTACTGTGTTGCTTTGAATTCAGGTGCACGTTAAACTTAAGGAAAGTAAGCACCATCCATGTCTAACTTGAAAAAGAAGCCATCTATTCTGATGATACAAATTTTCTATTGCTGCTGCTTATCTGGAATTAAAGCAACCTGCTGTTTTTCTTCCGTGTTGCAGCTTCATATGAATTTTACTGAAGCTAACAGAAAGACTACGAGCTCTCCAGACTCTCCTTTCCTGCACGGTGGCTCTTTTCCTTCGCTGGGCTAGCAGCTGTGGAAAATACCACCAAAACTAACCTGTAGTCAACAGAGAAAGAAAAGCAATGCTGAAGCCCATTTCTAGCTTCCTTTCTGTTTTCCAAAGAAGGAAACATTTAGAACTGCTGGTTGTGCATATTAGAAGAGCTACAAAGCCATCGTCCCTGTTTTGCATACCAACTGCTACCGAAGTTGAATCTCATCTGGTTTATTAGATGCTTCTGCCGTTTGCTGCTTTGGCAAGGACAAGGCAACCTTCATGTGTGTTGCTTATAGAAAATTTTAATAGCAACATTTTATATTGGTTATATATAACATTTTATTTTCCTTAAAAACCACACATTTATGTTTGTTTCAGGTTTCTTACCGTAACCAGTCTTGCTTACTGGAAAAAAAACATTCGTTTGTAAAGAGATCAATTTTCCAGCTGAAACTGAAAACATTTTCTGCCTCATCCGTGATGAGCTGAGAAACCAGCATTTCTCATATATGATGCCTTTTTTTTTTTTTTTTTTTTGCTGAGTTAACAGCTGTAGGCAGGCCAACAGTCAGAGGACCACAAGGGTTGTGGGTTTCAGTATGTTGTGATGTGTTAAGCACTTTGATGAAGTGGCATTAAAAAGCATAGACCACTGGTAATGTCTGAGGGGGGCTAGGCACGCATGTAAAATATTCATATCAGAGGCAATTTGCAGCAGTACTCTGCATCTGACTCAGACTAATTTTACAGGTTAGCCTGAAAAGCCTTCACTTCCTGAATTCGCAATCAGCGGGGTTAGATGCTGATCTGATGTAAATCAGCATTGTGTCACTGGCTTCAGCTGCAGTGTCAATCACCAGCAATAGATCTCATTTTCCCTCCAGTCTTGACTCACTTCAGCCTTAAGACTACTTTTTCAGCCTCAGCATATTTTCCCTTGAGTTGATGTCCTCTGAGCTTTCAAACTTCTTACTTCCTTTTATTTTTTCCTTAAAAAAAGAAAGCAATTTCATTGTTGAGTGCACAAGGAAGTTGTGTGGGACTGAATTGGGCCTAACACTCAGCCAACTCACAGGAACCTCAAGGATTTCAAAGCAAATAGTGATAAACCACTGAATTTTGAATGTTATGAAAGGTAGTTTTCTTCCTGAATATTCAAGGCCAGATGTAAATCTGGCATAAGCAGGGTATCATAGGAGCAATATTTTGCTATTTGAAATACAGTTACACGAAAGACTTTTTTTAAAATCCAGTTTCATTAGCTGTGATTGCATCTAATCACCCTGAGCGCAGCTTTGGCACACTGAAATTCCTGTCTTGGTATCTGGACAATTCAGTAAATGTAAATTTCACCCTGTAGGCTGAAAAGTTTGTTAATGCTGTTGCTGGTGATAATTACTATTAGCATACTAATATGTTTTTTAAGTTTCTCGTTTCTCATTAGAGGTTGAACGTGTTTCAACTTAGTAGCTTATAAATATGTGAATCCTCTGTCTCCTCTAGTTTTCAGCGGCAGTACTTGGGACCTCCCAGAATCAGACTGTAAAGCTCTAATCTGTAAATTAACTGTTGTCTTGCTTCCTGAGGTGACCATGTTTTTTGAGAGAAAAAAAAAACCCAAAACCCAAACCCCCTGATTAAGCGATTAGTCACAAGTTATATTTGCTTTGTTTTGGAGGTAGCAGCAAACACTGCAGTAGAATGACAGCTAATCATCTCCTTCTTTTCACTTTGACACCAGAAGAAGTTAGAAGGAGTGTTAATGAAAAAACCCCAGCAATTAGTTAGGGTGCATTGGGTTTTTGCACTGCAGTTGTTTCTAGCAATGAGAAGGAATGTATCTGTTTTGGTCATGCTACTATATGTTTTTGCCAATTAAAAAATGCACCCAACTGTAAAACCTAGAAGGAGGCTAACAAAACCTGTGTGAAATGAGGTGAGTTTTCTTTCTTTCTTTCTTTCTTGTAATTTTGCAAGAGGGTTTACAGTCCTGAGTAAATAGCTTTACGCTCTGGGCGTTTTTCAAAAAACTATCCATAATGGTCTTTTTTATATGTCGATCAAAATTGTTTGCTTCCCGAAATAGTTGTCAGGGCTCAAAAGTGAAAATGACGGGTAAAATTAAGACAGCTGATAACAGAAGTACAACGTTAGATTAGCCACAGCTCTAGAGCTTTGTTGCACGTTGGGGGTTCTCACAAGAAAGCAGGATGCATTTACCTTCTAAGCTTTTAAAACACTTTTGTTACTATTATGAGCATTTAATTTCACAGTAAATTCTGCGTCCTGCCACTTCCGAGCATGTACAGACTTTCTGTGACTCTGGTGTCATTTACTGCATATAAAAAGTTCCTGACTTTGGAACACGCAAAATACCAGCATTAAATAATGAATAAATAAATATCTGTATTAAAAAGGGATTTGCACGGACCTGTTCTTGTAATTTTAACTAGTTATAATCCAGAGAGAATACTTGCAGGGTGCAGTTTTATATTCCCATCGATAGTACAACGAATAGTCTCAGAGAAACCAGTGTGTGACTGTGTATGAGAGGAGCTGCTCTGTAACATGGCCTTACGGTGCCATTTGTGGCTTTTAGCTTCGGTGGGAGGGAAAGGGGGATCCCTTTGCATGTAGCTTAGCGATGCTCCCAGTGCGCCTGGAGCTCGTGGCAGCTGGAGGCACTTCCACTCCCAAAACCTGCATCCCCAAGAGCGCTGCTGCTCGTCTGGGTCTTGTATGAATCCTCACTCTTAGCACCATTTCTTGAGCAAATGGAATACATAAAAATTGGAATCTGTGGGTGTGTTAGAATACACACACGATAGCAAAATAGTAATTAGAATTACATAACATAAACACTTCTGCCATTAAAAATCCATAAATAAGGAACTTTGATAAAAGTATTTTCTTATTCAGTCTAGCTTGCATCAAGAGTACTAGGTCAGAGATGTGAAGAATTGTGGCATCAGCCGTTTGCCAGTGGAATAAACCAGTACAAAATCAAATTGATATAATTAGAAAAAAATGTTAAAGCAGTCTCACCACAGGGTTTTCTGGTGTGTGCAGCAATTCAACATCCTACGATAAAACAAATCTAAGTTAGAAAAGTTTAACGTTTGAAAGTGATGCCACTCACAAGATAGAGTCTAAGCAATACATAATGCTTGAAAATAATTTCAATACTATGACAAATACTTTGCTTACCTTATCTTTCACTGTGGTTTCTAACACTTCAATTGTCTTCAAAATCTGTTTGTATTTTGCTATTTTGTGTGGAGCTGCAGTCAGCGCCATGCTGGAACAGAAGAAAAGCGTACAGAAAATAATCATCCTCTCCATACTGGTGAGTTTTTTGTTTTAAAATGTGCCTGGAGCAAAGTTGTGCTATTCAAGGCGAACACTTCAGTTTGAGCTGTGTTCAGGTATGCTGTGTTACCTACCTATATATTGCTCCTTGTTGGAGATGTAAAACCCACCCATTTCAGTTTGGAAAGCTTTGTAGAATGGATTAATGAGTAACCCTTTTTTCTTTTCCACTGGCTAGGTGCATCTATGCAAGTTTGTGCGTAGGGGGCAGGGATTGATGGAGTGAACGAAAATATGCCCCATCTGCACATTGGACAGGAAAAAAGAGAAAAGGGTGAATTCCCATTTTCACTTTGAGTCAAGAAATGAACGCAGTAAAAAGTAGGTACTTAGAAACCACAGACCTAGGTAAACAAAGATTCTGCATTTTTTTTCCTGTTTCTTACAGCAACCAATGTCTCCAGTCCATCTGAAGCTCTTCTGTACTGTGCTGGAGATACATGACAGGACTTCTTTTCAGAACTTAAGTGTGTTTATCCTACTTACTTTATGGCTCCAAGGGATGTTTGTTAGCTAGTTCCCCCTGATGTCTGTGAATTGCCACTTTTACATTCTTAGCTTGGTTCCTGCAACAGCTGTGAGTAAAAGTTCATCTTAGCATTTAAGCCAGCTGAAGTTTGCTTTATGTTTGCTTGGAACCAGTACCAGATATTTCAGCAGCATCTTAGAGAGTGTGTCCGCTGGGGGTGAAAGTTGCAGTGAGATGCATTGCCCTGGGAGACATGGATCCCTGTACCATGCCCATTCCCCAGATGGGAGCGATACTGAAAGATCAGGGACTAAATCCCGGTGAATCCCAAGGGACGCTACCACTTTGTGACAGTGTCCAGTGCTTCTGGCAGCTCAACAGATTCAGTTACATTCTGCAGCAGCCAGGCTTGAGGTTAGTTTTGCAATTTAATGCAGCCCCTTCAAAGGAGCTGTGATACTGAGACCTGAGAATTCTCTTGAGAATGTAGAAGCGCATGTGTTTTGTGGGAAATCCAAACAAAGGCGCATACTTTAAAAAATGTAAAGCCAGAATAAAGCCAGCAGAATGATCTGAATTAAGCAGTAAGGCAGATGCTTGTCATTTCCTTCAAAATCGATGCCTGTTGTAGTTAAGTATATATGCTGCTTTTGAGGAAATTTATTTAATATTTAGAAGGTGTGCATTGGTGAAGGGATTTTTTCCAGCAAATGCTGGTAAGGAATGTTTTGTTATGGGGACTTCCATAGTTGCTTTCTTTCTAAATGACTGCTGCTGAAGTTATTAAAGGTATTTAAAGGTATTAT